CCTTAAAATGAAGCCAAACTTTCTGTTGCTTTACCCGATGGGACGCCAGTTTTTTTGTGTTGTTTTTCTAGACTTACGCCTGGTCACGTCGTACTTGCTTACTGAATGCTGTGTGTGTAACTTACAGGGAAAAAAAACGTGACATAAGTCGTGCTGTCTGGAATTGTTAAGAGAATCGTTAAGCGAGCTGCCAAACAGTGCCATGGAATTGGAACACACGGAACCGGTTCTGAACAGGAACCGGTTTTCGATTCCCATCCCTATTGCTAATCTAAACCTGCGCTCTGGTTTCTCTTCTATGGTAAAGGTTTATTGTTCTCACAGTTCAGATCATATTTGAAAATATTTGGTCTATGTAGGTTCCCACGTACTTGAAGAGTATCAAGTTGCACTCTGCCTTTACAGGCACTCACAAAGCTAAATCATTGCAAAGGTTTATGCCAACGCCGCTCAGTAGGAAAGGGCTTCTCACCAGGAATGAGTGTTCAGTGAGCTGAAAGGCTCCCCAGGCGAGAGGTTAGAGCAACAATGATCTAAGCAGCCAGTCACAAGGAGCCGCAGCGTCTCAGCCACACTGACAGGTGTAGAGCAGGCGCTCTTGTGAAGAAGAAATTATGCAAGGTGTTCAAACAGAATTTGTTTCTTAGTTTTGATAACGCTAGCTAACGGAAAGGTCTGATGATGCCACAGCAGTGTGGGGAATGAAGGCATTTGTCATGAGAAATGTAGGAATGGGTATGCTCAACTTAAAGGTTAAAACGGCTCATGGTAGCGACATTCTGCAGAAGTATTTATTTTTCCACTCAAGCTTTTCCACTTCATGTGAAAACCTATTTCTTTCTCTATAAAACACATGAGTTTTAACTCTTCATAGAGTTGTGAGGAAAGCATCACTGGAGAATCAATACTTCTACTCTGTTGGTATTTCTTTTTAACAACCTGTTTTATCATGGCGTTTCTATTAATTTCAATGTTACATTTATCGAAAAACTGTTTTTATATCCCAGCTATTGGCAACACATTTAAACTTGATGTCAAACCATAACCCCCCCTAACAAAATAGTAGTGGTACCAAGATAAAGGGCCAAGTGTGAGGATGTGTGGAGGGGGTTAAGCAGGGAAGTGTTCAGGATGAGGGAATTTGAATAAATGATCTAAGTACCTGAAATAAAATGCAATGCTAATAGGCTAATAAAATGCTCAGGTAAAAAAAACTATCACGAATGCTCCCGCTGCTCATGATTCCCACTCCTGTCTTGTTGAAGTGAGATAGTTTTATACTGCGTCCCACCTGTAGAGGTCAGAATACCATCGAGAAACAGTGTTATTGTGGTTGTAACCATAGCTACAGTGGTCTCATACATATCAGAGAATAAGTATTCACAAGCTTAAAACTGGAACACTATGGAAATGACATCAGTCTGACTTCCCAGGTGAATTTAATGCACCTTTATACAGGTAACAAAGGGCTGCAATAAAAAACAAAACAAACAAAACTAAATGAAAAACAATCCACTGGACTTGGTTTCCAAGTTTGAAGACGTTTCGCTTCCCATTCTGGAAGCTTTTTCAATTCAAAAATTTAAAATGCTTTAAAGCATTTTTGAATTGAAAAAGCTTCCTGGATGGGAAGCGAAACGTCTTCAAACTTGTAAACCAAGTCAAGAGGATTGTTTTTAATTTTTAATTTTGTTTTTTTGGAATGACTATGACCTGGATGACTGGGAATCTTCACCAACACCAGGCTGCAATGTTGACATGTACCAAGGTGTATTATTTAAGCCAGTTAAATCCAATAAAGGTTGAAGATTTAGTTTAGTAAACATTTCACCTATATTTGCAAATCCTTATCAATATGACTGAATATAGTACACTCAAGCATGTTTCTCTATCCTTGTGGGGACTTTCAATTGACTTCCGTTCACTTCTAAGCCATTTCTACATCCGAACTTTGACTCTTACCCTAAACCTAAGCTTGCGGGTTCATCCCAAAGCCTAAGGCTAAACTTAATTCACACCTTTGTCCTAAACCTAAGCCTAAAACAGTATCTGTGCCTATGGGGACCAGGCACATTCGCACACCTTGTTTTCAGGACTTATCGGGACATTTCACTGATATGCATTCACCTTATGTGCCCTGACCGAGACCCTAACCCGAACTGAATTAGCATCTTTATTGTTTAAATTGTGACCTGTGTAACATCTGTTATCATTGTGCTGTTTTTAATCATATAAATGGAGGAAGAACAATATCAGCTTTAGGATCGGACCTAAAAAGATCAGCAGCACAGGCTCCTCCTAGTGCATCTTTAAAGCATGCTACCACAATATGCAGGAGTTCTGCTCTGCAACCAGATTCTTTTTTCAGTTTTTACACTAGCTTAATTTTTGTATCCCTCGCTTAGGTAAGGCAAGACTTTTTTGATCTCCTGAATGACCAGCACATAGAGGGCAACCTACGATGGAGCAAAGTGAAAGAACGGCTAGAGACGGATCCACGATACAAGGCTGTGGACAGCTCCGCACTCCGAGAGGAACTTTTTAAACAGTTCATGGAGAAACAAGCCAAGGTGAGGGCAGGTCTTTGAAGAGAAGAAACTGGATTATTAATGGGTGTCTATCTTTTATGAAAATGGCAACAAAGATAACCTTAAGTTCACTAAAATAAACTGGGAAGACAGATAAACATCATGATGCATCTTTTCCTGTTTGCTTCTTGTTTTGTGGTTCTATTTATGTATCCTAAGAATTTTAGGTTAAGTCTAACAATGCAAAAGATCTTTTATCCAAGCGTTTCTTTGCAAGTTACATTAGCTTGAAGGTAATAAAGTTGTGCGTTTATTCCCCAACAGAATGTGGACATTGAGAAGGAGCGAGAGCTGGAGCGGCAGGCTCGTATCGAGGCCAGTCTCAGAGAGAGGGAGCGGGAGGTGCAGAAAGCGCGATCAGAACAGACCAAAGAGATCGACAGAGAAAGGGAGCAGCACAAAAGGGAGGAGGCCATCCAGAATTTCAAAGCCCTCATGTCTGATATGGTGAGATTCTTCTCTTTTGCTTTTGTTTCCATGATGATCTTAATTTTTCAAGATTTGTATTCATGCATGCCTCTCTTTGCGACTATCTTGGCTTTATGAACTTTCTGCTCCCTACTCAGGTTCGTTCTTCAGATGCAGCGTGGTCGGACACCCGCCGCAACCTGCGGAAAGACCATCGCTGGGAGTCCGCCTCTCTGCTGGAACGGGAGGAGAAGGAGAAGCTGTTTAATGAGCACGTAGAAGCTCTGGCCAAGAAGAAGAAGGAGCAGTTCAGGCAGCTGCTTGATGAAACAAGCATGGTAAGAAAACTGTAAAAATGTGAGGGGAGCATCAAAGGTCACCAAGCTGAATGAAATATTATTACATACAGTATGAAAGGAAGTATTTAAGAACTGTGTTTGCTGCAGATCACACTCACAACTTCATGGAAGGAAGTGAAGAAGGTCATCAAGGACGATCCGCGCTGTATTAAATTCTCTTCCAGTGACAGAGTAAGGCACCTTAAAACCTGCTGTAACTTCACATATCTATGTGACCTGAAGATCCATCCTAAGATATTTATCTCACTTTGCAGAAGAGACAGAGAGAGTTTGAGGACTACATCAAAGACAAATACATCACAGCGAAGGCTGACTTCAGAACTCTGCTAAAGGAGACCAAGTTCATCACTTACAGGTCTGTTTACTCTCCAGGAACTGTATACTCCAAACAGAAGAGAACCAACAAACATTTAACGGGCTTTAGACGTTCTGTTTGTAAGCATGCAGTAATTTAAACCAAGGTAGTAAATAGGTCCCAGAGGGTTCAGAGTGATGGGTCCAGTAACACTGATGCGTCAGTGCATGCATGGAGCCCATAGAGCAAAACAATGTATCGGTGCACATGTCCTTGAAAAGTCTTAAAAGGCATTGAATTCTTCAAAATAACACTAAGGCCTTAATTGGTATTAAAATGTCTTAAATCAGTCTTTCGTAGGTCTTAATTTTAAAAACATAAATAAGATTATTTTTATTACAATTTATTTTTGTAATCTTAATAATTATTTTTTTTAATAAAAAAATAACGGCTCGCCATTATTGGTTCCGTCCCGATAGCGGAACCAATAAAAGCGTTGTTGCGGCCGGGACATTTGGGAGATGCACCATTAACTTTTGTCTGGAAAATATGAGCAAGTGTAAATGTAACGAAAATTGGCTCCAGCCAAGAGTTTTCTCCATGGCTAAAACCAGAGATGGGAAGTAACGAAGTACAAATACTTTGTTACTGTACTCAAGTAGATTTTTCTGATATTTT